CAAATGGAAGCCAAGAGTTCTGCCTATCTTTTATTGAGATCCAAATCACGTACAAGGTCATTGAGATCGTTTTGATTTACAAAATGAAGTGCCGTATTTGAAGTGCTGGGCTCAAAAGTCGGATCGGAATCAGAATTCTCAGATACATTTTCTTCATCAATCACGTCATCCGTGTTTACTGGAGGCTGAGGAACAGGCAGATCATCACTGTGTGGGATAGGTCTTTGAGCAGATTGTAAATTCGGATAGTTCACGGTGTGTCTATATTTGTGATTAATACCTTTGATAGAAGTTTGGCAGAAATAACGATCTGATACATGGTCTTTTGTTCAGACCATATCATTGGAACTGCAAACGGCATATGACGAGATCCTTTAGCCCATGATGTTAATAAACTAACACATTGTGCACAACAAACACTAGGAGTCCAGGTTTTGCCCAAATTTCGCACCGGAAAGCCAAAATAATTAAAATAACAGTTTTTAACTAATGGTGTCAAATTATGACGTTGACTTTCAATAGTAAGTTGACCGCAAATGTTTCAGGATGGTTTACACACTCTCTGGGCATCTTATTACGATGTACAGAAACGACAATCACAAAAAAAACCGTTTTAATTTCAATAATTCAATATTAATTTATCGGAAACATACGTCGGTAAGCAAAATTCGCGTAATCAATTTAGTTTATGTTTAACGAAAACTGAGGGTGATTGAACAAAACTAAGTATGAGGTTTATATGCGGGTAGGTAGTAGTGTTTAAAAAACCGACTCGATTTTGTTTAACAAAAATACTGTTTACCAGTGTAATTGATGATGGGCACTAAAAATATATTATCTATGTATTATCCCTGTATATTGAAGTACAACAATAAAAAATAAGGAAACGAAAAAATCTTAAAGCGTTTAATAGAATGCATATAAAGTCTCAATATACCTATTATGTAGGTCCTAAGCCTAACCACAAAACGTGGTACCAAAAAGGGTACCTACTAACTACATATTATGTATGCTATTTGTTGGGAATGCAATCAACAGTCGGAGATTTTGATAACATTTATTATTTTTTCTTATGTTCTATATTTTTTTTTTTGCTTCCTTATGAGTGAAGTGTGGGTTGTAGATGGGGGTGAGAAGCACCCCCTAGGCTTCAGGTAAAAAAGCAGAAAAACAAAGTAATGTTTTAACAAACTTTATTTTATCACTAAGGGGTACGTTCAGATTCGCTCGCTATGGTTCTGGTTCTTGAATTAAGAGAACTTAGCTTTATAGTTTAATAAGGGGATTCAGTGACGAGTTCGCGGGGTCAGCGTCGCGGGCCGGGCATAGGCTGGCAAGGATATAGACCCGTCGTCAGCTCCGGTCAGCAGCACTGATGATCCACGAAGACTCAGGCACAACGCAGAGCAGCGTAGGTCAGAACGACTCGGGTAAAAGAACCCTGTTAAGCACCCTGTTTGCAGTTGCTATAGATTCCATAAAATCAACCCGATAAAAAAATATAAAAATGCGTGCTTCGAATGATATTTAAAATAATTTCATCATCATCAGCCCTTTTACGTCCCCACTGCAGGGGCTCAGGCAAAATAAAAGATGCTATGACAATAATCTGTAAGTTAGCACAACCCGGGAATCGAACCAGCCCTGCGATTCTGTAACAATCCAGACCCGAATTCGAATTCACTCATGTGTCCGAATTCTCGTCATTAATTATAGAAATCATATTGATTACATTTTTTGTATAAAAATACTAAACAAAATTGATTGATCAAACGTGTTTTGGATATTTTAATCCTATATCATTTCGAAACTCACTTCACTTATTTCACGAAACATTATTACCAATTCAAGTTTGAGCGGATGCCGCTTTTTGAAGTGGATTCGGACACGTGAGTGATTTCGAAATCGGGTTTGAAGTTTTACAGAATCGCAGGGCTGAGATGGAAATAAAATCACGAATTGAAACTAAAATAACTAGCATTCGGACAACGTATAGATTATATTTAATTTTTAGCAGACAATTGTCTTGTTGTATTCACCGCCAATTGTCAATTTACCAAGAAACATGAAGATCATTTAAAACGTAGATCGCTATTATCTGATTTCTCTTATCCTAATAGTACTGTCATTGAGGATTCGGCAGGCCCGTCGGAACAGGAGGTTGAGGCTGGGGATGTGGTATCCGCGGCAGGGGTGGCGGTGAATACATCGGGTCAAAATAATGTACTGGAGGGTGACGATGTTAGCAATAAAGATAAATGTTTACAATCAGATTTGCCGAGTTCTGAGTTAGTATCATCGCCACCTGAGACGCGTTCCAGGCGTATTCGTAAACCGGTTATTAGATTTTAAATATAACAACCACTAGCGAATATGAATTTTGTTATAAATAAATGTGTATGTTAAAGTTGTGATGTGTAATATTAGAATAAGTGGCGTGGTTTAGTTGCATCCCGACTTTCCGTATATTTCAGTTTCCTTAAACACCTACTTCACCTTATGCAAGAGAATGAAATATTTTCACACATTTGATTGAGAACCAGATCTTCATCTCGGAATTAAATGTTCAATTAAAACGTTAAATATTATAAAGCAACAAAATAGATTCTGAATTTAAAATTACTTATTGGACTTGTAATTTTAAAAATAAAATATTTCAAGGTAATAACTTGTAAGCGAGCAGTAAAAACTAAATAAATTAGAACACTCACCCGATTTGGGGTTATTTAGCACATACAAATTTTCAAAATCACTTAAAAAATGAATGTATTGTTTCGCGAGAAGTAATTTATATACTGTTTCACCACTGAGCCGCGCCGAGCTCCCATGTCTGCCTACCTCCATAATACAATTGTTAACATTGTACCTACAATTATTTTTAATGATATTTTTCTTTAAATTAATTTGTATTAAAACGTTAAAAGGAATTAGGCACAAGAAACAAAACATTCAAAAGAAAGACAGTTTATTTAGTAAACTATTATATGGGATTTCGACGAATTCTGGCCTTGACTGCATTAACGGCTTGGTTTATTCGAATAGACTGCGGTCGGCCGGATCTCTCACGGTCATCAACAGACATTGTTTTAGTGTACTTTTGGATGGTACGATACATAAACATTCGGCTAATAGCTTTTTCAATGTATCAAAAATATCGGCTGGCTCCTACTTACTTACTTTGTACTTACTTTACTACTACTAACTTTACAATACTGCAATCCTATTCTCTTCAGTTCCCCACTCCATTTTGAAAACAAAAAAAATCTAAACAAAAAACATACAATAACGACGGGAAAGAAGTCTTTTTTTATCGTAGAAGCTAATGTTCGAAATTTAAATTAATGTTTTTTTAATGTATGTAAAAAGCCAGTAACAGAATTTATGGCTAGACTAGTTATATATAACCTACCTACTTAATTATTTAATAAGTTTCATACCTCAATTAGATTTTTATCTCTTTTATTCTTTACATATACTGTATTGTTATGTAATTAATAAGTAACCTTTACTCTTGATTATGTATTAATAATAATAAAGAACGCACATTGTGATATTTTTGTATTTTTTTTTTAATTTTTGTTTTGTAGTACTCCGCTTTTCATTTGTATACTTACTTACTTGGGTTCCGTCACCAAAAAAGTTTGAGAACCGCTGTCATAATAGATGATGTGTGATAGAGTTTTTTAAAAATTTATATTAAATGCTGGTCAATTTGAACAGGGCACCATAGAGTTAATGGATAACTGGGTAAAAATACAGACATTGTATTATTAATATGTATTAAGAAATTTTATTATTAGTCTGTCGGGATCCTCATATTGATAACTTGTCAAGTAGACTGAGTTCTGTAGCATTTGCTGTTAATTCATTTTCATTTTACATGTAGAAATTTATTTATTTACTAATAAAGTTTAGTAAAGGCTAATAAAGTTGATGATTATTTTAAGGATCACGTGGAATTAATAGCTTTCGCTTTGTTCTACATATAACGACTAATTATGTGTACAACCTATGTCCTACAGACTTTGAAAGTTGTATTTATTATTGTGATAATGATAATACATATTATTTTGGTAATGACATGATTTATGTAAATGTCATTATTTATGATAAAGAGCTGGTAAGTTTCTTTCACTTGTTCTTCTCGTCAGCTAAAAGACGTCCTGTACAAGTGGCAAAAAAATTTTTGGATGATTCAAAAGTGCTTGTAATAAGCCTACTTGAATAAAGATATTTTCATTTCATTTCAATTACATAATAGAAAAATATAAGATTAACAAGAAATGGCTAAGATAATGGACAGTAAAGATGTGATGAGGGATAATAGATAGAAATCTTTATTCTAGTAGACAGACGACGTAGAGAGTCGTTCCAGAAAATGCACAAAGATGTGACATAACACGACGTTACAACCTTATGTATCGCCGGCGCCGTAATTTATTGATTTCTAGTGGAGAGATGACGTAGAGAGTCATCCCAGACAATGCACAAAGATGTGACATAACGCGACTTTACAACTTAGTGTATCGCCGGCGCCGTAATTTATTGATTTCTAGTGGAGAGATGACGTAGAGAGTCATCCCAGACAATGCACAAAGATGTGACATAACGCGACTTTACAACTTAATGTGTCGCCGGCGCCGTAATTTATTGATTACGCAGATATAAAAAAAAACGTATTTAATATTCTTATCCACACGACGGACAGACAAACAAAAGTTAGTAGTCATCATCTCTATTATCAGATTTCTGTTCGGTTCGAGAAACATCCATGCCTATGTCGGACCGGAGGGTATCTGTGTTACCTAAATTTAAAAAAGGGTAAAGAAAAGGCTCCCCAAGAATTGCATTGCCTATGGTCCCTGATGGATTTAATCTGGCTCTGACTATAATGTATGACGTAAGATGTAAGTTTCTCAAGTTAGATTATAATAATATAATACCAAAAGTTTGATAATGAATTTAACTCCGATGCTCCCACCCGACAGTTCCGAGTGTGATGCGATGTGACATGCCCGTCTCGTCGCATATCTACTGCTCTCGTCCCTCTGTAATAATTATCGCCAGACATGTTACTGTTGTACGTGATGCTTGCGAGCGCACTCGCTTTATGTGATGCGCTGGTTTCGAATCCGCCTAACATTGTGCTAATCATCGCCGATGACTTGGTGAGTAAACAATTTATGTTTTTATTATTATCATAATAAGTTTAAAAACAGAATAAGATAAATTATGTAGAGAGTAAGCGTTATTTGTCGCAAGAAACAAAATGGTTACTTAATATGTAAATTTATGTTAATGTATATAAAAAACAAAGTCTTTATTTCATTTCAAGTGAATACTTATCATACGTACTGGTTTCCTTCAATATTTGCCAAAAGCTTTCTTCACTCACGTATTAGGTAGATATTAATGTTTATATTAACAAAAGAAAAAGATGGAAAGACTTGCAATTATAACGAAAGTGTTTCCTTATGGAACAATTTTGGAACGTTTACAGGGCTGGGATGATGTCGGTTTCCACGGATCTAATGAGATTTGGACACCCAATATCGACGCCCTAGCATACGCAGGAGTTATTCTGCAGCACCATTACGTAGCACCCATCTGCACTCCCTCGCGGGCTGCTCTCATGACTGGAAAATACCCTATACATACTGGTGAGAGTTCTATGAGGTAAACATATAAAAGCATCTCATGTGTTTGTATATGTATAGCAATTATGATGTATAGCTTCATTTTCTTATTTCAAAATTCGCATCCGAACATTATCAGATTTATCTGTTAAATATTGATAAACAGGTTATAAATACTTCGTTAAAAAGTAGGTACTTAGGAAGCATACAACTAAATAAGAAGGAAGAATGAACATGTAGAAGTTACTTTGAAGAATCTGTATATTTAAGAAGGCACGTACACCAAAGGAGATTACTTTTTCAATTGGTTTTAGCAAAAAATAAGAAATATACGTCTAAAACTGTAATCAAGAATGATTATGAAAATAATTCTAAGGTTTAAATGAGAGTTCATAAAATTTCCTAGATAAAAAAAATACAGCAACCCCTATAGCCTATTATATATAGCCTTCCAAGTCTCATTTCAATGCCATTGCGTCATGGATACGTCACGGAACGTAAAAAAATAAAAGAAGTAAAACCTAAGACATTAAACCATATTGGTTATAGGTATGCAACATGGCGTCATATATGGTGCAGAGCCCCGTGGTTTACCGTTATCAGAAAAGATTTTACCTCAATATTTGAAGGAACTCGGTTATAAAACACATTTGATTGGCAAGTGGCATCTTGGCAGTTACAAAAAAGAGTACCTACCTAGACATCGAGGGTAAGGAGATAATCAAAATTACGTACAATCAACAACACGTCAGGTTATACAAAAGTGTCAAACTTCTCCTACTGATATTAAAATAATAATATTTTTTTTACATATTGTAATAACCTGAAGTGTTGCTATATTAGCGGGCTATATCTACTGGAAAATTACTCGTAAGTTGTTGTGTTCACAAGACTTCATTGTTTAGTCGACTGTATTGCCATCTTGCTAACTCCTTAGTAAGCGAAACGGGAACGCGCCCATACGCGCTCGTACTGTGTCACAATTTTTATTCAGAACAACATATCCCGATAATTCTACGTCTGACTTAGCCAAATAGTCGATCGTTTCCTGGCAAAGTGCGATGAGGCGTTGTCATGATGAAGGAGAATACTACGAACTCATTTCTCCCGAAATTTTTCCAAGACAAATGTTTTCGATCCACTAAACTAATACAATAGTATAATGATCTGTCCTTCCGAAGAACGAACCCACCACACGAACTACCTTTTTTCCCACACTTCAAACTTTCCTCACTTTAGTTGGCAACGCTCAAAAAGAAACACCGACTGAGTAGATTGTCTTTTTGTTTTCGGATTATAACAGTAAATCCAGCTTTCGCCACATGTGCACATATTTAGAACACAGCATTTAAGTCACCTTCGGGCCTCTCAGTCTTGAGAATATAGTCAAGGGGTCGCCAACTCGTGGCCTATATAAAATCTACTTCAAAACACCGAACAAACATTATTTACGCCACAATTGTAAATCTGCAGGGATTGGTTGTTAATTTTTCGAATTATATGAGAATCTTGTAAGTTAACTTTGTTCGCAAGTGCAAACAGTTGGCTAGTAGGTAACATTGATATTTGAAGTGTTCTTCAAGAGATAAGTTGTACCTGCATTATCAAACTCATCAGTTCATCACTTAATAAACATTTTATAACTTTTATTCTGGATAAAAATGTTTTGCTATATTATTATATGCATTTTAGTTTACTCTTCAACAGGTTTGACTCCCATACAGGTTTTATCACTGGGAAAATAGATATGTACGATCATACCAACGCTGAGAAAGGCATGTGGGGATTCGATTTCAGACGAGGTGATTATGCATATTCTTTACATTCAATATCAATTTAGTCTATAGATAAAATGGATAAATCAAAATCTCCTGTTTTGCCTAGTAAGGTATATATGCTCTTTCAAAAGAATACAGAAAATTCGTTACAAATAAAAAAGAAAGTTGATGCATCCGTGTTAAGGTTTAAATATGTTAAATATGATTTATTTGCTTCATCTTTCCACATTGTCTTTTGCGCACTATTACTTTCAAAAACACGAGGTATAATTATGGAAGGTATCTTGCTATGCATCTAAAAATTAACAGCTAAAGCCTTGTGCTATCGAAATATAAATAGGAAGCAGTGGCAACATCTATGCGCAATGCCTTGTATTGTTTTGTTGCTAAATATCCAACGGTTGTGTTCCGATTGATAATAGATGTCACTGCACGTTTCTCATCGCTGTGGGGACAATATAAATGGTTGTCCCACATGTGGTACTGGGGGCCTTGTAGGGTTAAGAAAAGGCACCCCGAGAAATCTGAAACGAAGGACCGCCACAGCTTAATCGAGAGACTATTTACTCAATTTTTTAGTTCCTAGGACAGGCGAAACAACGGACAAACCCAAAGTATTGTGTCCCTAATTATCAAGTTCAAATATTATTTAGTGAAAAGATGACTGATTAGATTTATTACAGTCAAAATGTTTTTAAATTTCAGATTCCGCTGTAGCGCATGATTTATTCGGAAAGTATGCAACTGATATCTACACCAATGAAGCCGTTAAGGTATTACTGACCCATCTTTAAAAAACCGGATTCCAAAAATACACTTAACCTGAGTGTGGTACTTACTGACTTAGTGTATGCGGTTAGTTATCATCATCGAGAGTTTCCGTAGTGCTTTGCTGAAAAGCGTACGGTGCTTTGTTGAAACACCTCCTTCTCATGACTTTGTGAAACTTTAATAATAATTATTGGTGTTCCTTTGTCATTTACATTAGACTTATCAAATGATCCCGATTTTCTTTAAATCCAGTGACCCCTTTCTCATATTCCCAACGTGGGGCTGGAACCCACGACGACCATTGCCCGACAATTTCCAGTAAATTGGGATCTGTATTTTACGTATATTAAGTGGCTGTATCTTAATCGTAATTGTGAGTTTGAAATGTTCTACTGGTTATAATAATAATAATATATTTTATTGCACTCAAGATGATACATTGTTTACAGGAACTTAATATTTAAGAAATTTACGGTCACAAATGTCCAATTAGGTTTAATGACGCCTTTTAACTCTAATGAATATTGAATTTATATCGATTAAACTAATAACAATTTTAATGGACGTTTGTGCATCTGGCTATAAGTAAACAAATGGCGGCCTTATTGTTAAACAGCAATCTTTTTCAGACGACCTATGGTGAAAATGCATAACGAATAAAGACATGGGGAGTGGGTGCAATATTAAGAAGAATAAATAAATAAATAGCGTATATATATATTATAAAAATTAAAAGAATGTATGCATATAAAATGGATTAAAAAGTTTTACAGTGAATAATATGAGAATAGATTAAAGATGTGGATTTAAATTTCTAACTTCATCGCTCTAATGAACTAACATTGGACTCTAATGATCGAGCCTTCCTAATACCCTCTGGAAGAGAATTCTATAGACGCTCGATATGCACAGCAAAAGAATACGAATAGAAATCTGTAGAGTAACGTAGAATTTCGAGAATGAGGTTTGAAGAGGAATGGAATGTACATTGTGATGAAGAGGAGCGGAAAAAGAAGATATGGTGGAGATGATGGGAGAAAAAGTATAAAGAGCCTTAAGAGTATACAAGTCGCTGCGCCGGCGAATAGGGAGCCATTTTAACTTGGAACGGAAATAGGATACATGGTCACATTTTCGAATATTGAAAATAACTCTAATGCAAACATTCTGCAGACGCTCTAGTCTGTTGAGAAGTTTCACTCCGCTGATCATAATCTCGCATCAGCGTAGTCAATGATAGACAATATAAGAGAAAGCGCCAAGTCATTTTGGTACTGCCCTGCGATTCTGTAAAAATCCCGACCCGATTTCGTATTCACTCATGTATCCGAATTCAAGTCATTGAGTGTAGAAATTCTATTGATTCCATTGTTTGTATAAAAATACAAAAAAAAATTGATTGAATATACGTGTCTCAGGTATTTTATTTCTATGGCATTTCGAAGTTCACTGTACTTATGCCACGAAACGTTATTACTGATTGAAGGTTGAGCAGATGCCGCTTTTTGAAGTGAATTCGGACACCTGAGTGAATTCGTATTCGGGTTTGGATTTTTACAGAATCGTAGGGCTGACCGGCAAAAAATCACGCATAGGACTTAGTGAACCATACGAGACCATACGCAGCAAACACCTTTTACCTGAGACCAAAAACCTGTTGGTCAAAAATTACTACAAGGTTTGTGACAGTTTCAGAATAAGGGAAAACAGTATCGTCAAAAATCGATCCGGGAAACGAAATAAGGACTTATTACTATAGTTTGGATTTTAGATAAGTTAACCATATGATTTACTCTTGGTACCCTCGAGAGGCTAGTTAATTGTGCCTGAGTACACTCAGGCATCTCCAGATCTACAGATATGGAGATAATCAGCGTAAAGGTGATAGGAACACGAATGCGACTGTGTGATGGAATTTATAAAAATAGAAAAAAAACAGAAGTGATAAGACTCCATCCTGAGGAACACCGACATCAGTATCACATCACGCAGACGCTGTATCTTCAACACGAAAGCGTTGCCAGCTCCCTATCAGGAAACTTCGAAACCAATCAATTGTAGCTGGAGATATATTAAATGAAATATATCACCGAAGTTGAAGGCGTTACTTAAATTGAGTAACGTTAACAGAGTAAGCTGTTTGTTCATACCCCGTCGAATATTATCGTTAATCTTAACCAGTGCAGTAGTAGTACTATGGCCCGAACGGGAACCAGACTGAAAAAGATTGAGAGTTTGGTTGGAATTAAGGATAGCAGTAAGTTTCTCAAGAACTGTGGAAAAAAAGGAAGAATAGAAATAGGATGATATTTATATGTTAGTTCGGAAGGATTTGACTTTTTCGCAAGTGGAATGACGTCTTCTTCTTCTTCTTTCTTCAACGGGCGTCTCCGCAACTCGACAACCAAATTGCGCCTATTTTGCGAGTGGAGGGTGTGTGGCCGGATACTACTCCAGCCAGCCCAGCTCTGCCAGAACCGCCCCCAGCGCCTTCACATCTGCGATGGCCTCTTGGAGATTGCCTGGCGAGCCGAGGTGCTTTGCCCGGTAGTTGGCCACTCCGTTGCATTCCAGCAGGACGTGAGTGGCTGTTTCTTCCGCCTCCATGCATCCTCTGCACAAGGGGCTGTCAGTGACACCTAGATCGAAAAGGTGTCTTGTTAAAGTTGCCATGACCAGTAATAGCACCCGTTACCAGGCGCAAATTTGGTTTACTTGGCTGTAGGAGGGCTTTGGAGAGGCGAGCGTTCACTCGGTAGTGCAAGTTTGGCCTGCCTGCAGGTTTCCAAAGTGTGCCAGTACTGTAGATGCAGTTTACTCGAGTGTTCACGTATCCTACCAATTAACCAGTTTACCGGAATAGGAATGATCGGTTCCGGGTCCATTGGTGTTGCATCTGATCCTCTGCGTGCCAGTTCGTCAGCTGCATCATTTCCACGTGATCTACTGAGTCCCTTTATCCATTGGATAGTAATTATATTGTGTGTCCCTACCATGTTTAGAACCTGGTGACACTTCTGTAGAAGACTCGATCGGACAGAACTTCCTTTGAGAGCCTGTAGGACTGATTTACTGTCCTAGAAGATCCGGATTTCTGATCCTGTTACCTTCCTTGTAGTTATCGCTCACGCCGCCAGGGTGATCGCCATACATTCATCCTGGAAGACTATATTGTATGGGCTAAGGGGCAAGAACAGAAGTTTGTTGAGATCCTCAGAGAATACACCAACTCCTGTGCCTGTTGAGGTTTTGGAGCCGTCCGTGAAAACTGTGAGGGTCTTGTGTGTTACCTTTGGATCGTCACTGTCCGTAAGATGTATCTTGTATTTCTTGTCAAAGATGAAGGTGGATTCGATTTTGTTGCACACCGCCTCAACAAGCGGGGTGTAAAGCCATTCCTTCAGTAAGCCATTGAGGCCCCCGTACAGTCCTCACCTGCCACCCGAACTATCCTGTTGCGTAGCATATTCACGATCCAGTCTATAACTTGTGGCTTTACTTCATGTCTTTTGAGAGCCGCCTCAATGCTGGTGAAGTTGGTTCTATCAAAGGCACCTTCAATATCGATGAAAGTGCCAAGACAGATGAGCTTGTTGTAAAGGGCCAATTCTATCTTACCGACTAGTTGATGGAGGGCCGACTCTGTAGATTTACCTGCACTTAGCAGGCGTGTTGATGTTTATGTATCGGAGAAATGCTCATTGCACCAGTTCGACATATCTGTCACATAGTCTTTCCAGAATTTTGAGTAGGAAAGATGTTAGACTGATGGGCCGGAAAGATTTGGGGTTAGTATAGTCGGTTTTTCCCGGTTTGGGTATAAATACTACCTTTACTTCTCTCCATCTCTGTGGCGTGTATCGGTGAGCAAGACACGCTTGTAGTATACAGGTGAGTGCTGTGACAATAGTCTCGCCTCCCCATTGTAGGATTGCTGGGAAAATGCCGTCGCTGCCTGCCGCCTTAAAGGGAGAGAAGCTGTTGATGGCCCATCTCACCTTTTCAGACGTTACAATTTCTGTTGCAAGGCGCCAGCATCTTTCCGTCGGCGTCGGCGTGACATCATGCCATACTACCTGTTCAATTGATTGACAGTTTGGGAAATGGGTCTGTAGAAGGATATGATTGGATTCATCCTGGCTTTGGGACATCGCGCCGTCAGGTCTTCGGAAAGTTCCCAAAGTGTCGGGACCTTGCTTCGCCAAAATTTTCCTTACCCTATTTGCCTGTGTTGTGGAATTTATCTCTTCGGTGAAGCTACGCCAAGAGGCTGTTTTACAGTATCTAATACGTTTTTTGTACTTAGCTTTAATGGCTTTGTAGTTGTCCCAGTCCAATTCACTCCGGGTGTTCATGGCTCGGTCAAATTTCTTCCTCACATTGCTTCTTATTTTCTGTAGCTCGGGACCCCACCAAAGATGTTTACCCGAACCGTTGGATTTCGGAAGCTTGAGAAGGCAGGCTTCCTTGTAACATGTCAGGATGCAATCGGAAACCATATTTACCTGCTGTTCTATTAGTACCGTGGTGCCGATTCTACCGTTTTCACAGCTCGTACACAGTTTCTCTGACACCAAACGATCGTAATGGGTTTTGTTAGTTTTTTTGGGGTATCTTTTAGGGACGGGGTTAGTAATCAGTACCTGTAAGTCGAACCGAATCCACCGATGATCAGAGCATGACGCCTCTTTTCGATACATGCCTGTCCGATATCGCTGGCACCGTTTCCGGGGTCACGAGAATAAGATCAATTATGGAGTGGAATGACGTTCGCATATTTCCAAGATATAGGAAAAACTCCGGTCAAATCTGAAGTATTTAGAATTTTGGTAATTATGAGGCACAGGATATCAATGATGGGTAGGACAATATTGCGACTGATAAATCTAGCTAATAGTAGTAACTCTCTTAACATCACAGTCTGCAAATTGATGCATGAAAAAGGGAGAGTTGAGAGTTAGTAAATTCGAAAGAAAATGCATAGTTTTTGCCGTACAGTATCATCAATAGGAGACGAGGTGGAGAAGTAACTATTAAGTTGATTAATATCAAGTTCTTATAAATTACATATACCAAATAGTGATACAACACATCTGCAGAATATTGCCCGTGTTTAACAGCTAATGAAGAAGGGCCGATTACTAATTAAGCAAAGACGGAGAGCAATTGGGTAAATTATAAGTTACCTTTAAAGGAATAATATGTAAATTTGAGGAGTTATACTTATAATACCGGGTATTAGAAGCGATTTTTCACTAACCTGCGCCGACGTTTCGGCTGGGTTGCACCGGCCGTGGTCACGACGAGATTGGAGATTGGCCTCTGCATCCGAGGATGAATCTACTTTCACCCTCAGATTTTTGATCCAAATACCGTCATAAACAATACTAACCAATGATATTAATATGTCTAGATACGCAATACATACCCAAATGTGAAGCTACTAAAACTAAGACGTTTGTCTTAGTTTTTTCGTTTTTCGTTTCAATACTCATTCAACTCCCGCCGAGAAAGTACAAAAAAATGCTCCGCAAAAACGAAAAAAAAACAGTGGATAAAATACGATTCTCTTTCACAAATACACATAATACGAAAGAATATTAAGTTTCACACTTAAGTCATTAACATTTTTGGCAATAAAATAAAATTAAAGCTAGTTTATAAAATAAAATTATTTAATTTTCACAAATAAAATTTTGACATTTTATCGTCAGTGTTGTCATTGCTATTCACTTTCAATTTTCCCCACTATATGGGAGCCTTTTCTTTTTATTTTACGTGGCTATAATTTATCTAAATATCTTCTTTTAATTAATTATATGGCTCAAATTTAGTATAGGCAACTGTGCAAATTGTGTTGATATTTTTTTCATAGACGCACACAGATGCTAAAGTGGTTTAATTTTTTAAAGTTAATATAATTTTTTCAAGGCGTGGAATTCGTTAGTTGTCGAGATACAACTTTTGAAAATACGTAAAATTGAACCTTTGTTTGATCTTTTGTTAACTTTAACAAATGTTTTTCTCTTAAGCACTGACTTTATCGAAAGACAAAGGGATTTATATGCACAGAGCCTACTTTCATGATTGTTCTTTTTTTCAAAGTTTTTTCAAATAAATTTTCAAAGTTACAGTATTTTTCTAATTGATTTTATACATATATCTACATTACTTGTTCATTCATTCATTCATCATAATGGGTGAATTTTCGAGAGCTGGCAATACAATATCTATTACCCATTTTTCCGTTCATTCTGTCGTTCGCACATATTCTGTCTTTGTTTAATTTAAGGTTTAATCGTAGATATGAGAGAGACAAATATAATAAACCTATTTATATTATAGAGTATAAATATTATTTGCAAAGCTACGTCCTGATTTCGGAAAAGTGCTACGCTTTTTGGCGCGTCTGTTGTATGGAATTGCTTCTCTAGTTATTAAACTCATTGATACTAACGGTGTCCCTATTCCGCACATGAACCATATTCTGGAGATTTACTGTTTGCGAAAAAAGAGGTTGCCTTTTAGCAAATACTGGATTCCACGCTTGTGACAATTAATATCCGTCTTTCCGATTGAAGTTATTAGGGTGTTTCTTAATTTCAATCGCTTCACGCACTACTCTTGAATAAAAGTGGCGATCCGTGGAAAGGACTTGCGAATGGTTAAACTCGATCCAGTGATTTGTGCCTCTTTTTAGTAGGTGTTCCGCAATGGCAGACTTACTTGAGTGCCAGTTTTTGATAACTGCTATGTGTTTCCTTGATGGATCTCTTACTTTGACCTATATAAGAACCATCAGAGATACAGTAGCTTTTGTAAGCCCTCGGCGTTGACAAAGGCAGAATATCCTTGGGAGTGCCTACGATGCTACTCACTCCTATACCTGGAGTATAAACTGTCGGAATGGAGTACTCACTTAATACGTGGCCGATCTTGTCTGACACTCCTTTGACATAAGGCATATAGGCTGGCTGTCTACTCACCATAGGATACTTGTACCTCTTCACTGGCTGCTTTTGTCGTTTTTTAAAGATCGCAAATATAATTTTTGATCGGAGCGGTTAAACAACTACATTGGGTCCAGCAGTAATATAAGGTAAAAATACACAGACAATCACAAACAGGTATTTATAGTAAAATCTTTACTAGCATATACCTTTTCAAGTTTTTTTATTTGATAAACCTCTAATGCTGTGAGAGCGTTGAATGAATAAGTGTATCTATCCGCGAGGGGCGAGCTAAATATAATGCCGAACGAACAGTACATAGGATGAGAGTCCCCCTGTCAACAGTCTTATGATATTATAAAATAATTTTACAGGTAATAAGGGAACACAATGGTTCGGTACCATTATTCCTCATGGTGGCACACTCGGCGGTACACAGCGGAAATCCATATGAGCCAATACGAGCGCCTGAGCATGTCTATGATAAATTCAATCACATAAAGGATCGCCAGCGGCAAAAGTTTGCGGGTAAGGTTTATTTAAATTAAATATTTCAATGAAAACAATTTAACACTGAAAAATAACAATTGTGATTGTAGCAGTGATTAAAGAAAAATTTTTGTTTACTCGTATTGACAAATAACCTGATTTTTTGCAAATTCTATGATTATATTACCTGAAGGATGAAAGGAAAAAGTATGTACCTATGAGAAATAAAAAGACAGAAGAGGCACGTAGTTGTTATGTGACTGGTTTTTCGCAATACAGTCATGGTTGGTTATACTTTGCTGTGGTGTGAAGACAATCCTAAGCCGCATTGCTGCTAGTAGATCTTGCAGCATGACTTCACCCGACGATATACCCGTATATTATATTGTTCTTAATAATACTTATCTAAGTGTCTGTTCTAGGTGTATTGTGGAAGCTAGACGAATCTGTGGGTAAAGTAGTGGAGGCTTTACAAACCAACGGTCTCCTACATAACTCAATTATTTTATTTACGACTGATAATGGAGGAGCTGCTGCAGGATTTAACAGCAACGCTGCCTCCAATTTCCCTTTAAGAGGTGTAAGTTTTTTATCAATGAGATAAATAACTATTAATGGTTTTCGATTAATTGTGGATCTTTTAAAGTTTGTAGCTTCCTATGCAAAATAAAGGTATAATAATCATCCCGTCTAGGGCTTCTTATATAGTTGAACTGCTTCTTATTACTGTTAAAATAAAGCATAATAGGTAGTGCGATGTATTAAGAAAACGCGTCTACTTAATTCAGGTAAAGAATACATTGTGGGAAGGTGGAGTACGAGGCGTGTCAGCTTTATTTAGTCCAAGATTGGTGAGTAACTCGCGGGTGGCCACTCAGCAGCTGCACATTTCTGACTGGCTGCCGACGCTGTACGGTGCTGCCGGAGGAGACGTCAGGTAGTTAATAATTGTTATAGTCAACTTATTATCTATTTATTATACCTATTATTATTATTACACAATTTACCTTATCAACGATTCGATTCATCATAGAATGCAGTATGAGCGTAAATCTCAATATTATTTATTTATAAGGAAAATTTTGCGACCAAGTTGAATTCTATAAATACTAGTGATTTATAACTGAGCATGAATATAATAAAAATATTTTAGCATATTGTCAAACATCGACGGCTTTAACCAATGGGAAACTCTATCGAAGGATTTGAAGTCAAAAAGATCATCGGTTGTTCATAACATAGATGAGAATTGGGGTATAGCAGCAATAACAATTGATCAATGGAAATTAATAAGTGGTAAGAGCCTTTATTTGTAAAAAAAAAACATCTTTTTTATTTTATGTTGTTGTGCCTGTGTTATATTTTAGGTACAACCTACCACGGTGAATGGGATGGATGGCACAATTCAAACCGTCGAGATGGAGAATACAAAATTGATTTGATAATGCAATCAACTGCAGCACGAGCTATCGCAAAGCTTGGGTTGATGCCTGATAAAAATAAGATAATGTCGATAAGGTAAATTTGAATAGTAAAGAATAAAAACTTTCCCTCCGTCATTTTAAAAAGATCTTATTTTTTATTTTAAGAGATGCAGCCTCAGTAAAATGCAGCAATGATAGTGTCATTATTTGCAAACCTTTAGAGGCACCATGTCTGTTCAACATTAAAGAGGATCCATGTGAATTAAGGAATCTTGCAGAATCGTAAGTAGTTTAATTTGAAAGAAAACAAGTTAATGATATAACATATTTTATCAATTTTGCATTCACAATGCTATACTGGAAAATATTTTTAATGAGAAAAATGCTTAAAAAATCCCCAGCCCCAGGTACTCTCAGATGGGACTCGCAATCACGACCTTTCGCTATCCGGGCGACTAATCACCGCTCTAACCACTGAATATTGATGAAAAATATGCTTACTAGTAGCGAATAGTAACAAGTGCTTGAAAAATTCGTCAGTCCTGTTAGTAGCTCCAGTGGTTAGAGTAGTTGCCCGGATTGCGAAAGGTTGTAGGTTCAAGTCCCATCTCAGAGTACATGGGAATGGTGGATTTTTAGAAAAAAATCATTAAGAAGTTAATGATATTTCTTTTTGTGATATTCTAAGTCCTGTAGGTATTATTGGTCTATTTCAAATTATGATTCATAAAAATATTTAATTAACTTCGTTGTATTACAGAGAACCAGAAATATTGCATAAAATGCTAACAGAACTGAGCGAAGTTAACAGAACAGTTGTACCACCAAACAATAAACCTGTTGATCCACATGGTGACCCAAAATATTGGGGACAACTATACTTTAATTTTGGGGATTTTGAGCTTAGCAATTCTAATCCTACTGGTATTAAATCATGTAACAATTCGTAATATATTGAATCTGTCGCAATTTAAATTGTTGTGTTTCAACGTCAATAAAAACAATCGAATAAAAAATCATGTACTTTTATTCTTATTAACCTATTCAGAATATTAAAACAAGGAAACAGAAATAAATGAAAATACCTATTCATGTATTCAACTTAAATTTGAACAAAATTAATACTTAATTGATAGTCGTGTTTAAGATATTAATTGAATCGATATTGAAGAAAATATATTTAAAAAAATTAAGGCCTTATGCTTTAGTTTTGGCTCTTTTGGTTCTAACACCAGTCCTGAGTTTCGGTATAGGTTCATCAACGTCTTCGTTTACTTTCCTTTTTGCAATTCTACTTTTCCCCAAGTCGGAAATATCTTTAACAGGATCATGTGAACCACTCAGAGACATATTTTCATCTAGCTGATAGTTGGACAATAGAGCTTCCTTGTATTGTTTAAGAGCTAAATCTTCAATGTTGGTTTTGTTAATGCCATCATTCTTTTCAATTACTTTGACAGGGTTTGAGGTGTTTTGTAATGACACCTTTTCTAGTGGATCAAGAACGTCTGCGACTGGATCAGGTTGGCTCTCCTGTGAGGCGAAAGTTTCAGCGAGTAGCCGATCCACCAAGTTCTCTTCTTGAGATAATTGGAAAAATTTATTCATAACTGATTTTAGATTTTCCGTTATTATCTTCTGTGGTGTGATCAAGCTAGAAAATATAGTAATTTGGTTTTAAGTGAGATTTTCAAAGATGACTACTAAGTACTTATGACTTTTTATATATTATTAGCTGATTTGTTAAATTACAATGGAAGAAATAAATTTTCAATCAATTTTCAGACGCTATATGAGCTATATTGGTGGCAATTTTGTTGGACAAACTAAGTAGTTGTCTATTTTTTAGACAAATAAGATCTAACAAATATTTTTTTTTTTACCAGAAAAAAATCTGCAAGTAAACTATTATACAAGATAATAATTATATTTATTTGAAAAAACCGTGTAACAAACCGAAATAATTTCATTTTTAGATTAGTTTAGAGAGTCATACTCCAGAACTGGCACCATTAATTGATAAGGTAACTAAACTACACAACTGCACATCGAACTATAAAACTGTTAAATTTCCCCACTCGGTTTCAAACCTTGAAATGTGGACGATAGAGGTTTAAATCTATTGCTGAAATTTTACATATTGTGGTAACCTGTTGACAGGGGGACTCTCAGCCGTGCATATAGCTACATATTTCCAATAATTATGATTAATCTTGCTTCTTACATATAACACGTTAGAAAGAAAATAGAAAATACATACACTTATTAACACATAATTGGTCTGTTCTGATTACATCAAAGGTTAAGGTCAATCAGAAATATTGGTTTTACATAATATCACAATTAAGTTCCTAAATTGAAAATTAGAAAAGTGGGAAGTTAGATATAGATGATATAGGTAATATGTCTCACTCTGTATCATTTTCCTGCCGGACGACGCCTTGTGAGTGCAGCAGGCGCATAATTTTGGTGGCATTGGTGTCGGACACACTAAGTGTGGAGGACAAATCGCGTGCGCAAATACGCCCTGTGCGTGCGCACACCCACAGTGCGCGTCTGAAGATGCACAGGCACTACAAACATAATCGACTATTCTCAAACATAGTTAATGGAAAAGCTTAAAAAATCAATATAACAATCATTTAATTTTTGCCATTTTTAAAGCTCTCATTTTAGTTTGTTATCGCATTATCGCAAAGCAAAATTATATTTTTCATATATATATTTTTAAATTTGCATATATAATTTATTGCATGAATTTTCAGAAAATATAATTTAAATTCATGCAATTAATTTGTCAACTATAACAAAATTTTAGGGATTATTCATAAATATTTCAATAATTAATAAATAATTTATCTCGTGCAATTTATGCCATCTTTTTATTTTGAAATGACGCCACGCGCGTGTTATTTAGAAAAGGTTCCTGAGCAGTGCTATTAATAAACAAGGTTTTGCGTCAGAGTAAATTTACGCTACAATAAGGACGATGAAAAACAAAATTCTATTCAGTTCGTCAGTCAGATAATAAGTGTTTAATATTTTTCAACAACCTACCTGACGGACATACAAAAAAAAAAATAGTCTTCATCCCTATTACAATTTTAGTATTAGTCGAAATTCATATTATACAGAGAGTAAGCAAACCTACAACATTCTAGAAGTAAATATTACTAACGTAGAACCTCGTACTAGGTAAACCTCTGCTTAAGTCTCTGTTTAATAATATGAATTTTGACTAATACAAAGTGCATGCAGACTCAGCGTAAATTTACTCTAACGCTAAACTTTGTTCATTAATAACACTAGAGGTGTTTACCTCTCTCTTGTTGCGTGAAAGCGGTACGAGTCTTTGATCGGTGGGAACTTTGCTGGAGTCCATGTCTGAGCAACTAGTGCAACAATGTTCCGTGAGCCGAGCAGCGTCCTCGGACGTGAGGCCAAAACAAGCTGAATGTTGATGCGTGTTGCAGTACCTACACCAATGGACATCGTGTAGCATATTTTCTCTATTTAAAGAGCATAGGTTTTAAATAAGGCTTCAAATGAAAAATCCGTTTATTGACGCAATATTATTTGATTGAAATGAATGATAATAAACTTAATCATCACGATCATCACCAGCCTATTGATCTCAGCTCTCCCTCAAGCTCCCACCAGCTCTGGCCCTATGGATGGAATCGAATCGAATCTAATCGAATCGAATAGGGAGAACAGGCCATGTCCCACCACGCGGGCCCAGAGCGGATTGGTGGGTATTAACGTCTGCAGATGCAGCCGAGACCAACGACTTAACGTGCCTTCCGAAGCACAGAGGAGTTCAAGATGAAATATTTTTGGTCACCCATCCTATGACCGGCGAAAGTTGTTTAACTGTATCGCAGACCGAGCGCGCTAGCCACTACGACGTGACCTGCTCAGATGAATTTAATTATTAAACCTCCATGTTATTTTTAATGGAATGATAAGATCAGAGAAAATATTTTAAATCTACGAGTATCAAATAGACTTTTTCTATTCTGTTACAGATTTAAACCTAAACTATACTCCATTCATTATAGCATTAGACAGAAGTTAAATAAAGTTCTTTTTATGGTTATCAACAATCATGTTACTCTGAAGACTAACGGCTAATTAGCTACATATCCCCTTAAATACCAGCTGATACTTAATCGTTGTCGTCTAAGCTATCTATTAAACAAATTTATGAGTATTTGACTAACTTAAAAGATTTAATAAATATTACAATAAAAAGTGTTCATCTTAAAGAACCTAAAGAAGCAGGGTTAGATAGTTTCGGCACGATTCTCATGTCACTATAACCTTGCCAAATTTAAAACTTTGCCTAATCCCTTCAAACGTTTCGGCAGTACAGCTTTTTAATTTTGTCAGATTATGATATATTCATAATAGTCAAAATAGGTAATCTGGGATTGTCATTAATTGTGAATGCTACTGCCTTTCTTGTTGTTTAACCGTTTTTCGTGATTGAGTTGTTATTGTTTTATTGTTGTTTTCTTATAGTTTTGTTTTAGTTGTTATCTTTTTGATGTTAAGTTTGGCTAAATATGGACTATTCCGGTGTAGGCCCGAGTGGCCTACAATAATTACTTTTGACATTTCAGGAAGTTTTTCCAATGTCTTAAGCAACAGCCGAATAATATCTGAGTATATGTTATAAATGTAAAAATAAAATTTTCATTTTGTTTTCCTTTCTTTCCTGGGCATAGATATTCTATTCTAATTATATACACTTACAATTACAATTTATCAAAACAACAGATAAATAGTTTTAGTTCCATGTTGGCTTGGGAGTAAAAGATGAATTTAGAAAATGCTAGCCTTATCACAACCCCGAGAAAATGGAAAATGCCCAACTTTTCAAACTACCTAATGTTCAAAGTTACAACAAAACTATTATATGTATTTTTAAATTTATCTTGAAAATAAAATGTTCTGCACTGCTGCTTCTGTGATCCTCTTTTTTCTAATGTTATAATGAATGGAGTATAGGTATGAGTATCATTTTATTTCTTTGATTACAAATCGCTACGAAATTACGCCAAAAAATTCAAATTAATTAATATTTTAAATGAGAAATGCTTAAAAATCCACCAGCCCCAGGTACCTCGAAATGGGATTTGAACTCATAACGTTTCGTGATACTAGCGACTGCTCTAACCATTAAGCTACCTCAGACCCAACAGGATTGAGGAATTTTTAAAGCATTTGTTATTTTCGCTACTGGAACAATAATATAATTATTAAAATTACATAATTTTTAGTTTAGAGTGTGAGACTAACAACAGAATTGGCAAGTTGGACTAGTGTACAGTACAAACCATATGTAAGGTTCTTAAGAATTTCAGAATCTTACCGACATGTGAGTAACTGTCCTCCGCTGGCTACATCACTGTCTTCTTTGTTACACGCACAGTGCACTTCTCTTGATGTACCTGAATCTTCAGACTTCGATAATACTGTTGCTGCCGACGGTACTCAAAATAACAATGCAAAAAATAAGCCTTAGTTTAAGATACGAGGGTCAAACTGAAAGTTCTTAGAACTGGCCACTTATAAACAATATAATAAAAAAATAATTCTAAAATTTGAAAATATAACTCTTTGCCAATATTACTGAGTATATATTTCATTCATTTGTCATTTGTTTTACGATTTGGCGGCAAATTGAAAATTGTCTGTGTCACGTCATCATGAATTTAACACGAGAAAATTTTCGTGCAATGATTTTTTATGACTTTCGATGTCATTTAAGTCAACAAGAAAGTTATGATAGACTACGATTGGCCTTTCACGATGAAGCCCCATCTCGTGCGACTGTTTACAACTGGTTTAATGAGTTTAAACGTGGTCGCACTAATCTCACTGATGATTTACGTGAGGGACGGCCTTCTACGGCGACGACTGAAGATAACATCTGTGTTGTGCGGCGTATGATAGAGACTGACAAAAGAGTGACCTATCAACAGATTCGGACAAGCTTAGGCATCGGTATGAGTCAAGTGCACAAAATCCTCCACGAACATTTAGCGGTCAGGAAGCTTTGCGCCCGGTGGATACCTCATAATTTGACTGAGGCTCAAAAACTCCATCGTGTGGATTGGTGTCGTAAAATGATTGAAAGATTTAACGGAGGTGACTCAAATGCTGTGTTCGACATACTAACAGGTGACGAAAGCTGGATTTACTGTTATGATCCTAAAACCAAAAGACAATCTGCTCAGTGGGTGTTTCCTTTCGAGGAGTTGCCAACTAAAGTGAAGAGAGATCGAAGTGCGGGAAAAAAAAATGGTGGCCTCGTTCTTTGGAAGGATAGGTCATTTTGCAACAATTGTGTTAGAGGATCAAAAAACAGTTTCTGCAGAATGGTACACTACCAATTGTTTGCCACTTGTCTTGGAAAAAGTTCGAGAGAAACGACCTCACAGTAGGATCCTCCTTCACCACGACAACGCCTCGTCGCACACCGCCAAGCGAACGATCGACTATTTGGCGACATCAAACGTTGAATTACTGGGTCACCCGCCGTATAGCCCCGACCTCGCGCCTTGTGATTTTTATTTATTTCCAAAAATTAAAGAAAAACTTAAAGGAAAGCGGTTTATGAATGCTGAAGAAGCGGTGGCTGCGTATCGCGATGCCATTGAAGAGACCCCTAAGGACGAGTGGGCAAAGTGCTTTTCCCAGTGGTTCCATCGCATGCAGCGGTGTATTGACGTGAATGGACAATATTTTGAAAAGATATAATAAAACTAATAACTGGCTAATGTAATCAGTTTTTGATTTTCTAAGAACTTTCAGTTTGACCCTCGTATATCCTAAAAATTTGCCGATCATTTGCCGATTTGCCGAAAATATGCCGACCGAAGGATTATCGCCCAATCTATCTTGTAGGCACAGCCATAGTAATAGCACTAAAAATATTTTGATTTTCTTAAAGTATCGCGTATAGCTCTCAGTTACGAAGTGACTCGCGTATATTTTCACCAAGAAAATTTTATAAAATACGTGATTTTTGACTATAACATCATTACCAACCTAATAATGTTCCTATTTCTGGGGCACAGGCTTTGAATAGAATCGAATAGGAAGAATGGGCCCACCACGCGAGTCCGGTGCGGGTTGGTGGGTATTATCGACTGCAGATGTAGCCAGTACCAACGGTTTAACGTGCCGTCTGAAGCACGAAAGAGTTCGAGACAGTAAATTTTTGGTCACCATTCATTTAACCGAAATGTCTTTAATAAATGTATTCAAAGTTCTTCCTTAAATTTTCAATGATCTCTATATGCTAAAATCGACATAATATAAAACTTAAAAAATATATTATTTTTCCTTCTCCCTTCTATTACTTAAAAAAAGAAAATTTAAATAATCGTCAATTTATTATTGAACAAAATATTTAAATTTCGAATATCGATTCCGTCATAGTCTCCGATTCGCTTTCATTACAAACTTTTTTTTATTCCTCTATGAAACTTCATAATTTATTGACAACTTCATATTAGTAGTTAGATTATTTCATGACGATTACCTATTTTAAATCCTAACACTATAGGTATAAGTAATAATAACTATAGATATAAGTAATAATAATCCTAACACTATAGGTATAGGTATAAGGATATAAGCGTAACATTCTCCACTGTAAAGGCGGAATGACAGTTGATACGGAAATAAAAACAGAACTTTAATTCTATTTACCTACGAAATCTGGATCCATTTGTGACATCATGGGTGGATTCTGCGAAGGCTGAAATAAAAAATATAAAATTGGAGTCTTTGAAGGGGTACATTAGAATGTTGATGATCAGTACCTATATCATCGGTGAGTCAGTCAGTGACGAAATTGAGGAAATTTAACTTGTAATGACTCTCAAAGTACTCGTTCAAGTCTAATGTAATTTATTTGGTACTTTATAAATACAATTTAAGGATATATATTTACAATTAACATAGATACATCTACAAATTGCATTAAAGAAGGAATTACTTCCTTCTTAATCACTGACAATTTAGGCTTCTAGTTTTCGTTACAACGAAGTTACAGGGGTCGAAAATGGCTCCAATGGCTTCGAGACAAGGTTGTGCCCTCATTTACATTTTGCTAGACTTGACGGGAACACTTCCGTACCTCCAGATGCTTTAATGATTGAGATGATTTTCACTGACTTCAAAAAAAAGTTTCAGTTCTCAGTTTGATGTATACTATACTATATGATTTTCCGCGAATATCTTACGTTTGGCTGAACCAATTCTAATACTTTTAGAAAAGTATTTTACTCTTAAAAGGTTTTAGTATTTGAACCGAATTCAAAAAAAGAAGATTCTTAGTTTGACACACAGATTTGACTATCACTAAAAATACTGAAATGAGTAGGTATTTTTTTTTACCAAGAGGTTTTTGAATAATGGAATCGCTTTTAAGATAAATATTATTACTATTTTTTTTTAAGTTTGAGTCTAGAATATAATTTGAATACAAACGATGGCCTCGTGGCTGGCGCCCATGCTGTCCTTTATATAAGTCCGGGCCAGCATCTTGTGATAAGGTGTCTCCACACAGCCCAGCTTGATAGTCTCACCCACAGTAGGCTCGAGGTGATCGTCGTTCTCCGTCGCTGCATTAAACCCTGGCGCTTGATATCCTTCTGGAGCATCTAATTTCATACAAAATCAATAACTAAACATAAAAATTCACGTGCATGCCTCAATAACTAATGTTTAATTTATTTTTTGTTAACATTTTGTGATCATTTAATAATATAACTGTTTGTTCCTTGAATAAATGGTGAATCTCTCCATAGCATTAAGAAAGCTGCATTAGCATACAATCCATGATAAGAAAAAAAAAACAGAAACTATAAAAAATAAATTAAAGCTAAAATGAAAATTTACTTGTTTTAATTATTGTCCTACGTATTTCTTTTTATTATCGTCTATTTTTTGTAGTTTGTTTAATCAATATTTCCTTTTTAACATAGTAAGATAATTACAGTATTAAAAAGAAAACGATATATATTAACATATATAGAGCATCACCTAAAATCAATAACTGGGTTTGGAAGACGAGTGAAAATATGAATAATCATTTTTCAAAATTACAGACTTTTACTAACTACTTTATAAAAATCTGAATTATTCGGCCCTTAAAGGAATAACATGGCGCCTGCGTTACGAAGAACTTAGTGATTTTATTTCCTAAGTAAGTTTTCCGAGAACTTCTATAGTATTTAAATCCAAACTTATTTGGGGTACCTATGTTTCCAGGAGTTTAACTAACTATTAATGTTTTTTCCGTATTAACTAAGTTACAAGTATTGTTTATGTTGCATCTTACGTTCATTGTAATACAGCCTAAGGCTGACATCATAGTTGTCAGGCAATTCGAAATGGCAAGTCTGCATAATGACTACACACGCTCGGATTAGCTGCATCGTTCTCTCCCTCACAGCGTCAAATGAATACTTCCTGGTATGCACCGAGCTATCTCGGGACTTGGATTTAACGCTTAATGTCACCCCAGCATCGCTATATGAGTACTCAAATAAGTGATATTCTATCATATTTTCCACTTTACACTCATCTTCGTAGAAACATAGAGCTAGTTGTTGAAGCTGTAAAGACAAATTCTCCAAGTCAGAAATCCAAATTAACAAAGAGGCCTCTAAAAATTTTCTTTCGTCTACCTAAATTAAAAACTCTGACAGATAAGATATACATATTAGTATCATTGCCTACGACAGATAATTAAGCCATATAACACACTTCAGTTTAAATTCATTTGGCCTGGGCGCCTGGCAATGTGTTTAATAGGGACAAAGAATGGCAAATTGTGATGCGTTTTTATCAGAGCAAGAAGATCGGTTTCATGTATTTAGTATAGGACGGATGGAACTTATTACATTATCCCTGCCTTGCATATCGAGCAAATATGTAACACCAGGGAGCCCAACTATCTTGCTAAAAAACAATAACTAAGTAATAATCTCTAGCCATACCTATAAAGACCGTTTTATTGAATGTATTTTAAATAAGTATAATAAAACAAACATTTTAGTTTATTTTCGTTTTCGATGTTTTATTTTTATTTTAGTCAAACTTCATATAATTCAGAAAACTAAGACAACCAAGACAATAGAATATAAGTAAATTCATTGATAAAATCAACATAACTTTGTATAGCTATTGCTACAGAAGCTAATGACTGATTACCTCCACTTTTGTTAATAATATTAGGTAGGTATCATACAATTATTTGTCCATTTATTATATTCATCAGATTTATTATTCATACTTCAATAATTAAATCATTTATGTACCTGCAAAAGTATCTGTATTCCCAATGTTACTTACATATTTCTTATCAAATGCTTCAAAGGCTTGCGTTAGCGCTGAACTCAAAAACTGTGCAAGTTCGTCTCTACATTTCTTTTTCAAAATTCTTAGTTTTAGACCACCAAAATTTTCTGTAGAATAACTTTCTTCGGGAAAAGCATTCTTTAGATAAGTAATAGTACTAATAGCTATTACTGTAAGTTGTTTCATGAACGTTACGGAGCTAGTATAATTTTCGGTTATTTGTTTAGGAAATATTTTGGTCCATTCAGTGAGAGCCTTTGAAAAGTAAAATATTCAACAATATTAGATATTAGACTCTGTTAATGATTTTATTATATTATAAGATTTAAAAATTAAAGCAGTGACTAGAGGATCTATTTTTCGAAAATAATATCAGAGCGTTCAGAAAAATTAAACTCACCTGTGATGTTAGAGATAATGTGGCAGTCATCACGTATTCCACGGATTTCTAATTAATAAGGAATTGTCGGTACCTACTATGTTAGTTGCCTATATTTGCTACTATTTTGTAGCAATATACTTATGATAAATAAGAATTCCCGCCATAACTGGTGAAAAAAATCTATTATGAGGGCAAAGGGCATTGCCTATACAGCCTTCAATTACATATTACGATGCGTACAAATTTAGCGAACGAAAGGCCAACGAAGAATATTTAAATGCTAGATAACGGTTGCGTTGGTGATATCCATGTAGTTATATAATGTAAAAATAAAAGTCTAGCCCTGCAGTAAGATTTTGGCGGATGTCTGCAGCCATTTGGATTCCCCCCAGAACCAAAGGACCAGGGTGGACCGCCCCCTCCGCCTCCCCTCACCACCACTGAGCCCCAGCTACCATGCTAGTAGCATAACCTTAGTGCTAACAAGACGTCAATACTTCATCTGAACAACAAATGAATGGCCGGATTTGGGCGGGAACGAATTTAGAATATAACTGTTTAATAGCGCGTTGGCGAATGACAGTTTTTTAGATAGAATATAATATAGGAATGTTGTTTTGTTGATCGCAGAGGAATATGCTATTATATAGGGAATATACATATAGTTTTCTTGATTCGTTGGCCAGACCAAATAATTTGGTCTGAGGTACTAGCTGTTTTCCCACTACTCCGTCCGTGTAAATTATAGCCTATGTCACCCTCCTGAGATATAACTTCAGAATTGGTCCAATTGTTGCCTTTTCTAGGCACACAAACAATCAAATCTTTTATCTTTAAAAATGTGCATGCATGCATTTATTTTACAAAAAAGAACAGTAAGATCTGTTAATCACTTAAGTTCAAGAACATCACTTATAGATAAATTAAAAGAAATAACGATATTGACAGTGGCCTCCCAATATATTTTGTTAGAAACAATATTAACAGTTAAGTTATACATACATAGTTATGTACTTATGTACACAATTTAATTACTTTTTTTTGTCATCAGATTCTGGTATATATAGTTACGTTGCTTATGCGTATATTGAGAATATAAATTAAAAAACCTTTATTAGAAATGCTTTTATTCGATTCGTTACGTTACATTAATTTAATTGAACACCGGGATGGTTAGAACAATCTTTGTTGATGTCTGATACAGATTTTTGAGACTTCCCAAAATAGTTTGATAAAATTTTCGTCACTGCGTGTCTTTTAGATTGAGATGAACATTCTTCTTGAAGATTTGTTCCGCCCTTATTCCAATGTTCAATAAAGCTTTGACGTCTGAACACCTTACCCAAGGATTGCCATTTTTGTTCACGATTTATATCTTTATTTTCAAAACTTTCTGTGCTACCAGATGGACGGTCCCCCTGTTAATGAAAAAAGGAAGACAAGTATAAAAAGATACTCGATGAAGACACAGGACAAAAGGTACGAAAATTAGAAAAAATGCTTCAACAAAACAGAAAGAAAGTAATTCTTACATCGTTTGACTTCGTTGATCTAAGCTGTTGTCGAAAGAAATTTGTAATTGATTTTTTCCAAGTTTTCGATTTTTTATATGAAGTCAATTCCAAATTACTCGGTCCTTCACCTGGAATCTTATTTTTCTTTATCTGTTCAACATCTTCTTTTAATGCATTGTTTGAAAGAATAGCACCTTCGGCACACAACATTTCGATTTTTATGAAAACGAATACCTATACGATTTTATTTTGGTAAAAACACTCAAAACTATTGTCAATAAACTTGTCAGTTAATATGAGTTGATAATTCAAAATTTGAAATTAACACAATAAAAAATATTTTAGTGGCCTTAATTTGTGCAGTAAAAAAAGGTTTGCAGTGTTTTTAGTTAAGAATCGTAGGCGGTAAGAAGCATACAATCAATGCAAAACCTTCTTGGTAGGTGCTTTAAGCATGGACGTAATCATCACAGATAACCTCCAACCTTAGAGTGTATATCTTAAAATAATTATGCTTGTATAATTATTCTAAGCTATATATAAATAAGCTAAAGAGCGCGTCTAAAAAGGTATGAACTGTAAGCACAGTATGAACAGTGTGAAATTTTAAAATTAAGTTAAATCAGTCTTAGTCTTAGAGCAGCCTTTCCCAAAGTAGGCGATAACGCCTCCTTGTGGGCGCTGCAGGCCTAGAGGGGCAGTAAGAGACCGAGAAAAAAATTGGGGGCGTTGCGTAGAGGCTTGGGGGGTGGGTCATTTATAATTTCATTTAGCTAGGAGGCCTCTTAGACACTAACTGAGACACCAATGAGCTCTCGACTCTCAATCACAACTTACGAATATTAGTTAAGAGATTGCTCAAACTCGGTTCGATAATTGTCTCCGCGTTGGTCATATACATATATATCCTGTCTTAAAGAATATATCAATTAAAAATCATGTCTATCGGTCGTTCCGTTTCGAAATGAAAGTAGACACAAACAAACAAATAAAAGGACAGATATACTTTCGCATTTTAATAGTTATTATAGATCCACCAGAATGTCATGGCATTAAAAAAAAAAAAAATGTGAATTTCATATTGCAACACTCATGTCACCCGTCAATCATAAAGTCACTTGGTTGTCATTCGTTGCTAGAAACATCTCCACTTTCCATACATTGATTGACCTGTCATTCTTTTTTTTATAAAGGGCGCGTCTACTTACTTAAAATTATCTTTTCATTTTAAGTCCAAGGAAAGGTTTAATTTTTAAATAATATATTGAGCTTATAACAACTGTCAAAACTCGCGATAATTGCGAATTTTAGTTTTATTTGATGGCATTTTTAACTTTATTAAAAATGTATTGAAATATTTTATGATTTTCATATCTCACACAGCTTTAAAGTATTAATCTAATGTAATTTAGTCCAAAAAATGCTGTTGTTTTTTTTCGAAGCATTTTTAATTTCTTTGACCAAAGTATACTTGGAATATTAAAATCGATTACGCATAATGTTGTTTTCAGTCTTAGATTATATTATAAAATAGAAATAAAAACAGTGTATCTTCTCTTAAAACTACTTCATCCAAAAATGCAGCTGGAGGATTAATGTTATTTTGGTACCTGGCTGCCTAGCCCAACCCAGATACCACACAATCTTCATAACATGTGCACAACAACCTACATTACGACGTCCTACAACGCAATTGCAACAATACTCTTTAATGCTTTCTCGTCCATTAACACCATTTGTAATCAAAATATAAACAAAACATAATACTGGCGCCATGAGACATGCCGTTCCGTTTGATGTAAAAGAATATCGCTCTATGCGTAACTGGTTCAACTGTACATTCATTTTTCACAACAATTATACCACTAAAATAAAAGTTTTATAAAATATTATTCTTAGTTGAGGAAATAGAATTAAATATAAATGTTATTGTGCACTTTTTAAACCTTAAAACGAACGAATTAATCGCAGCAAACGGTCATCCTGCGGTCCGAATCGCGTTCTCGTATTAAAGATAGAACTTTTTTAAAATTGTATCAGCCTCCTTGTTTTTTTCCTGGTCTTATTTTAATACTTTATTATGTGCTATGAAATACATAAAAAATAAGCTATATTATAAGATATATCATATCACTAGACGCATTAGTTAATTTCTAGGTCAAAATTGGACATGATTCTTTTGTTGGTGTCGTAAATATTTCGTTATTTTATGAGAAAATGTCGAAAAATCCTCTTAAATCTCAAGCGAGGAATATTGTTTTCAATGTCTATAATAAAATTCGATCAAACACAACACAATCCTCGATTTTAAAGCGCGTCGTTGCTATGACCGGTAAGTTAAACTGAGTAGTAATGATATATTTAAATTTTTTTTTTATAACATTAACTTATATAAAAGATGGTTTTTGAAGGAAACTAAATGATTATGTATTTAATAGATTTTGATCCATTTTTAGGTGTTTCCAGAACCACTGTACGACGAATCATATGTGAAGGCACATCAAATGATGGTGTATTTTCTACGCCCGGTAAAAAGAGAAGAGGGGGAAAAAAAAAGAATTAATTTAGATAGTTTTGATTTATATTTGATTAGGAACAAAGTTAAAAAATTCTATACAGTACGCAAAGAAATTCCAACACTAATGGAAATTTTACAAATTCTTCGTAATGATATTAACTTCCAACTGAGTACTAACTACCTCCCCCTGAGTATCATTAAGGTGAGGAACAATATCTGTAAAATACAAACTATGTATAAATTAATGTATTGTCTAAATAATAAATACATAAATAGGGAAGAGATGCGGGAGGAACTGCGCTCTGCTCCCATTGAAACAAAACGGTTAAATGATACTGTGGCGGTGCTTACGGGTAGGCTCACAGAGTGCGAAGGCCGATTTGGAGTTCTTAATAAGCGTGTGATTACACTTGAAACACGTCTCACTACTGAAAAGGTGGACAATGCTTCGCTTATTGCTGAAATTGACAGAATGAAATCGGAACTAAATGATCGAGATCAAGATCTATTGCTTACGGAGCTTGAGGTGACTTGCATACAGGAGCAGCCGAATGAAAGTTTGTTACATATTATAGGTACGGTTGCTACAAAACTTGGTGTTCATCTGGATGAACAGGATATTGTTAGTGTAGTGCGAATGGGCCGTGTACTAGATGTGTCCCAGACCTCTGCTTTGCCTGGCACGCGTCCAATTGTAGTACGATTGGCGCGACGTGCTGTACGTGATAGACTGTTGGAAGCTGCAAGAGTGCGTCGGGGTGTTACCACTGAGGGCATGGGTCTTCCCGATAAACCTGGTCATTTTTTTTAAATGAGAGACTGACTAAATATAACTAAGGAATAAGGAATGGTTGAATAATATGACTAAGGAATGGTTGAATTTTTTCACGTCAGCACCCTGGAGTCGACTCCATTCGTTATGGTATTCGTGCTGAAGCAGACCTTGACCGTGTTTTTGGCCTGGAGGCAGGGCGCTTTAATAACTAATGTTCGCTGTTTTTGCTGCTTATTTAAGCTGTTTATGCTTATTTTATTGTACAGATGTTGCTTTCCCAAGATTTGGCTGTATACAATGCTATTGAGCTATTGTGTATTGATTTTTTTTATTGCTTTTGCTGTGCTGTCTAATAATGCTCCAACTCTGCTTTCATTTCATAAAATTATTGTTATTTACTGCTTTAAAGGTCCAAATCAAATTAAATTTTGGCAATCATATGGTAAAGATGTATTTACTATTGTTGAGTCTTCATGTACTTTTTTAGTAGTATTATTGTAGCATTTACTTCCTTAAAGACTGAAATTATATCTAATGTTTGCAAGTTTATGTTATTTGAATTTATGATTCTAAATGCTTTTTGTGTGACATTATGTAGAGTGTTATGTTTTATGTATCCTTGTGCCGGTACAATGCCACTTAATGATTCCTTCTTTCTTTGCTATATTATTGTTTTACTTAATCGCTTAAAGAATATGTTAATCATAAAAAAGATTTTGTATCTTCTTTTTATAAATTAGTTTTTAATCTGATTATCGATGTTTTAGATTCATTTAAATTGATTTTTAATATCATTATCAATTTGATAAAATTTAATTTAAACAATAATCTTATTATGTATGTTTTATGTTTTGTTTATTCATGGTATCAGTTTGCTATATTTTATTTTATTTTTTTTGCTTCATATGATATGTAAATATTCAGTAACATAAATTTATAGAATGGCGAATATGAATTAAAACAAAATTTCTGAAGCTAGCGATTTATAATGCAGGATCGCTTAACACGGGTCACGTTGATTTTCTTGTAGCTATGACTCGTATTGATGCGGACATCGTTGCTATTAACGAGACATGGTTGCTGGCTAGTCAGGAAGCAAGGGCACCTGTCGTCTCAGGCTACAAGATGCGTAATCTTCCTCGTCCACAGCATATGCGTAGAGGAAGAGGTGGGGGAGTTGCATTTTATCTTAAGCAAACCCTTAGGCGTGCGGTTTTTAAGTCATCCTCATGTAAATATAGAACAGACGTGGCTATCGACCAAAGCAAATGGTATACGTGTAATAGTAGGCACAGCATAAAGATCACAATGGATAAATGTTGACTCATTCCTGGACGCATTAACGGAGACTATAGCGACTTTTACAAATTATGAATACATTGTGCTTATGGGTGACTTCAACATTAATGTCAACATACAGTAAACATCAATTATACAAGTGATAATGTAAAAAAACTCAATGATTTTCTGCAGTGTTTGGCCTTGCGGCAGGTTGTGAATGAGTGCACACACTACTCCGTTGATTCTGATAGCTTGATAGATTTGGTTTGTACTAATTGTAAGACTCGTGAACTCTCTGTGTCGAGTGTTACAGGATCTTTGGGCCATGCAATGGTTAACTTTAGTTTGGTAATAAAAAAACCGAAGATCCCGCTACTTCTATATCTTATATGACATTTTTTGAATATAATAGGTTTCATTCTCTTAAATCGACATTAATGTTGAAGCCTATCTCTGATAAAGATGTTTTAGATCACATTAAATTTATAAAGTCAAATGTTGCGGGAAGTGATGGTATCGATAGGGATATAGTGCTGCTTACTCTGCCTCGAACCTTATCAGTTATTACAGATATCTTTAATAGGTCTATCACTTATCCTTGAAAAAGTTGTCCATAGCTAGTTGATTAAGTATGTAGAAGATAATAATATTTTGCCATCTCAACAATCAAGATTTCGTAAGGGACGTGGTACTGGTTACGACACTATTAGATGTCACGGATGATATCCTATCGGCTCAAGATGAAGGGCAGTGTACTCTCATGGCCTTACTTGATTTTTCGCATGCGTTTGATTGTATTAGTATACCACTGCTTCTTTCTAAGTTGGTATACTATGGTTTCGACCATTCTGCAATAAAGTGGTTTGACAGCTATTTTAGTGTCCGTTATCAATTAGAACGCAGAATGGTTTACATTTGGTTTCAGATCCTGCACCAGTTAATCGTGGGGTGCCACAGGGGTCCATACTTGGACCCTTACTTTTTATTATTTACAGTGCTGACCTGCGAATTCTTCTAGTACATCTCAGGCTCTGCAGCTACTGCAAGAGGATCTGAATTCCGTGTCTGCATGGTCCACTAGTAATACCCTTGTATTAAATGCGGTCAAATCAAAGTTAATGCTGTTCGGAACAGACAGGCAGACTGCTGGTATCTTTAGTAGAGTTTTAACTGTAAAGCTCTCAGGAGATTATATTGAGTGTGTCAGTGAGGCAAAAAATTTGGGTGTTGTTATGGACAGCCGGTTACGCTTTGAGACTCACGTCTTAAATCTGGTCCGCAACTGTTTCTATCGCTTAAAAATCTTATACAAAGTACGTGAATATCTGTCAGTAAAAATGCGTATCACCCTCTGCGAATCTTGTCTAGACTCAATTACGGTGACCTAGTCTACGGACCCCGACTATTGAATAGAACTGTTGTTTTTGTGGAAATAAACAATGTAGCAAATAAAGGATTGTGGAGTAAACGTATAAAGTATTTTATTAATAAAAATAATATAATCCTTAATGACAGAGAAAATTTTAAAACAAAGATAATAAACAAAACAATAACATAGCAACCAAAATCATTTCTCTATGACTGGACGTATCGGTATTCAACCTTCATTTTTAACACGCCCCCTGAATACCCATACGTCTTAAACAGTACTCAAACTTTGGTCTTGGCAGACCTTTTGTGAGAGCATCAGCTGGCATGGAATTAGTTTCCAAATAAGTGATGAAAATCTCTTTAGATTCCGCTAGTTCTCTCACATAATGGTATTTGATGTTAATGTGTTTCGATCTTCTACCTACAGCATTAGAATAAATCAATTTTGCAGCACTTTGACTATCACTAAACAATTCTACTGACACTTTAACACCAGTTAATTCTTCATATAAACCTTTCACAGATATAATATGTTTAGCAGCCTCGCAAGCAGCGATATACTCAGCTTCTGCTGAGCTTAATGCAACGCATCGCTGTTTACGTGCCTGCCATGCTATTACAGCGCCACCTAAAACAAGCATATATCCCGTAAACGAATGACCATCTTCATTTTTACCCCAATCTGCATCACAAAAAGCACATAACGGTTTTCCAGTTTTCTTATATATTAAAACATTATTCATTGTGCCTTTGACGTACCGTAAAACACGTTTTAATGCTGACATATGAGTTGTGTTCCAGAAGTTGTTGAATTGACTGAGATAACTTACAACAAAAGCAATATCTGGTCTTGTACCCAAAGCAAGATACATCAAGGACCCAATGATTTCTTGATAGCTGGGATCATGATTTATGTCACCCTTTTCTAACTTCAAATTCATTGCCAATGGTGTCGCAACAGGTTTGCAATCTTCCATACCAAATCGTTCTAATATCTTTTTAGCAAAATTAGTCTGATTCAAATGAATTTCTTTCAAGTTTTCTGATTTCGTGATTTGCATACCCAGACATTCTTTAGCCTCACCCAAATCCTTAATCTTGAAACCTAATCTTATGTGATCCTTAACTTGATCAACAACTTGTTGTGAACTGCCAAAAATATAAAAATCGTCTACGTACAGAGCAATAGCTGTAAAATTATTCTTACTTCTTTTAATATATACACAAGAATCATAATTTGACCTCTTGAAGCCGAACTTAACAATGTGAGCATCTACTTTGACATTCCAGCATCGAGCTGCTTGTTTCAATCCATATATGGCTTTCTTGAGCTTACATACCTTTTGCTCATTTCCCTTCTTTACAAAGGTTTCTGGTTGCTCCATGTAAAGATCTTCCTCGAGGTCACCATTTAAGAAGGCTGTAGTAACATCAATATGATGTACCTTGAGGTCTTTCTCAACAGATAAAGCAAACAACATCCTGATTGACGAAAGCTTGACTACTGGTGCAAAGGTTTCGAAATAATCTTCTCCCCATTTTTGGGAATAACCCTTGGCAACTAATCTCGCCTTATGTCGCTGAACTACACCATCCGCTCCTATTTTGAGTTTAAATAACCACTTACATTTAACCACATTAGTCCCACAAGGACGGTCAACTAAATTCCAAGTGCCATTCTCTATAAGGGAATTATATTCTTCTTCCATTGCTTTCCTCCACAGCGTCTTATCTGAGCGCTTCATTGCATCCTTTACAGAAACAGGATCTCCATTAGTTGAGACTAGAAAATTGTATTCCATATCATCATATCTCTTTGGAGTACGTATTCGTAAGGGATATCTTCTATTTGGCGAAACTTCACTAGTTTCTTCTATTTCAGAATCTTGTTGACTACTCATTTCGTCTTGAGCTTCAAAAGTATCGGACCGTATATTACTTACGCCTTGACTTTCTGTTTCTGATCTTATTACCTCTCCGACTTCATCATCACAGACGTTGGTAGCAGAAGACACTCTGTCCTCTTCGCGATAATCCCAATAAAGTCCTCCTTGGGCAACTTCTTTCTCGGCTTGAGAAACTTCTTTTGTACATTTATCAGATGTAGGCTGCTTGATAACTTCCTCAGGTTTGAGATCACTGACCGAGGGATTTTGTAACTTTTCATTAAAGACTGCATCTCGACCGATGATAATCCTTTTTGGATTATTTAAATCAATAAATCTGTAGGCTTTCTGTGCTTCACTGTATCCCGTAAAAATTAATTTGCGAGTCTTGGCATCAAACTTCTTTCTACTGCCATCCTTCACTAGGACTTGTGCAATAGATCCAAAAACTTTCAGATACGATAAATCTACTTGTTGACCTAACCACACCTCTTCAGG